TCCTAAACTTCCTCAAAATTCCTTCCTAAAACGCTCCCATGGAATCGCAGCTTACGCGGCATCTCAGTAAACCAGTCCCACCTGGACCGGCTGGACGGGTCCAGTGGACCGATCTAACAATACTCCCCTCCCAAAGATCCACCTTGTCCTCAAGGTGGAACTATACTCATATTCCTGTGGAGGTGGCCATCCTTGAGGTGGCTGAAAATCCTTACCAAATTGTTGAGTCAAGGGCTGTACTGAAAGAGAAACATCCCGTCCCTCCTCAAATCTGATCACCTCCAGCTTGTATATGCATGTTTTCTTTGTGAATACAAAACATGTTTTCTTATCCTTTAATCGCGTCCAGTGTTCCCGGGGTGTACCGCCTTCCGTACCCGGGGTGTGACAGGCTGGTGGAGTTTGCTAGTTGTAGCTGTGGTTTGTGACAGCAAGTGGTGGACAATGCATTTGAAAGTCGAACAAATTTGTTGATTTCCAATTTTTGAATTCACAAAAAATGAACTAGATGGTGAATTCCAAATTTACAAATGAATTACATTGCATTTGTAATGCATCCTACCAAATAGATGAATTTTTAAAACGAATATGATAGGTTTATGTCATAACAGCAATGCAACAAACTAAATAACCCTTAAATATTTAAGTAATAAACCATTACAATTAATTAGATATTGATAAATATTATAGCAATAAACTTGCTTCATTAATAAATGTAATATTTCATAATTATCAATTAAGATAAATACTATTATAATTAGTAACTATGAAATAGGATTTTAAATTAATTTAATATTATTGTAGCTCTTACAGCACTACAAACAATAATCTAAACAATTTATTAAATGGTCATTTTTTTTACTCAACAGCACAACGGACAGAACAAAACTCAAAATAACACAATGCAGCGTTGAAATAACATACTACACATTGTCTTTCAAATAACAACAAATCAAAAAGACCACAATTAATTTCTTGATTTCAAATTTTCAGGGTGGAGCAGAAAAAGGAGATATTAACAAATATTTATTCATTAGCATTAGATAAAAATGCAAAAACAAACCTCATTTGCCTAGCTTTTGGGGAAAAATGCAGGCCATCTAATTAGAGCCGACAATCTATACTTTGAATATGTACAAAGCCTCAAACTTCTTCAAGTGAACCATCAATGACTTTCTGGCAACCTGAAATAGGTAGATGGAAGCAAAAATATAGCAGGTACAGACTTAAAAATGCATACGTCAAAATGTTGCAACCTGTGCAAGTATAAGAAAGAGACGAGAAACTAAAAACGAATTAAAAAACACCTATGAGTCTAATGAACCAAAATCAGAAACAAAACAAAGAAAAAGAAAGAAAATATGCAATAGAGCATGAGTAAGTTTTGTAATTTAAGAACACCCATGACAGACTAAATGGCAAAATCTAGAAGGAAAAGATTGAACCACCACATCACACGGTCAAAGTGAAACTCCTATAACATAAAAATGAGAAATATCACTTTTTAATTTAGATTCTCATCAAACTACTTGAGAAAATCAAGACAAGAATATGTGACTATGGAAAAAAAAGAAGTTTGAGCACACTTCACAAAAGCCAAGCCAACTATCATCACTGGGGCTTCTCTATAGCACAAAGCAAGAACCAGCTTTCAACGATGAAGTGTGATGGGTCCTAGGGTATTCTATGAATGAGAAAAAAATTCAAGTAGAGATGCATTTGTATGTCACAAAGAAGATTCCACGCAGATATTGAACTTTACCTCCATGGGAATTCACTTGTGTCTATCCCAGCTTGATGCAATTCATCAACATAATGCAATGCTTCTCTGCATTCTTCTCTATCATCAAAAAACTCCCTCGTGTCACCTTCAATTTGATATGCATCATTACCTTTGCCAGCAACAACCTTGATCACGGGGTAAATTCAGCAGAAATTAATTTAAGTATGATTAATTTATATAAAATTGAAACAAAAGGATAAAGGTTTGAAAAAAGAACTTAAATAATAAAATGCACCCTCTTCAAGAAAAAACTAGCAAATACAATACCGAAGGTACTTCGCAATAACCGTTATCAAAATTCATGTCCCTTGCGTTATCTAGTATCACGTATGATCATTGGAGCCTCACAAGGAACCGTTTGATGCAACTTTCCTATTTTCTCATTTTTTGTTAGATTTTTATAAATAAAATAAAAGTTCCATGGAATAAAACTTCCTATAGGCACACGTGATTATAAGCATGATCAATAACCCCTTAAAATAAATTCACTTCTGTTTCTGCGAAGGATGACCAGTAGATAGACAGGTAGGATATTTACATCTATAAAAAGGTGTAGTTGTGGCAAGTAAAGTACTCATTGAAGCGGAAGGTCTTTGAAAAATAAATGGCTTAATTCTCTCAATCAATACCTCTCTCGTTAGCTCAAGTATCCACTTTTTGGTGTCAAGTTCATAATATGTAGTTAGCAATTCACATGCTTCAAGTTGCACTTCCAGTAGACCATTGCCTAATTGCCAACCAAATCAAGCGTTTGTGCAGTCTAGCAAATTATATGGATTGAGAATAGCAACAATTCTATATGCTGGCTGCAATTTCAGAGGATTGGTATTTGTGAGCTTAGGGATATAGATGAAACTCATGAGAGCTAGATGGCTTATTTTGTCTTATTAACAAGTATAGTTGTGGCATTGATGTAGAACTACATAAGAATGCAATGATTTTTATTTAGAATTTGCACAACTTTTGATTAGAACAACAGTGAAGAAAATATTAGCAGTTAAAACAACGAATTAAAACGAAAAAAGGAGTTATGCCCGCTTAGGCTAAATCACATAACCAGAGATTTGAAACTTTCAAAATAAATTAGTAAACAACGTTATGCCAGAATAGTAGTTTCAATAAAAATCCCTAATCTAACAATGAGAATTAGTAAGCAAATAAGTACACTCAAAACCCTACGTTTACTAAGCTTTAGCAGAAGCAGATGGAGGCGTCTTTCGCGACTACAATCAACTCACAAGAGAGATTAGGCTTAAGAAAGACACGAAGAGGAAGAGTAGGAAAAAAACCTTTGTAAGGGATCGGCGGCGATCCTCCACTCAACGATCTCTAACTGTTTCTCAATAGCTTCCACCAATGTGTCCAAGATTCGCTCGATGTAATCTTCCACGGAATGATCGATCCTCGGGTTGACGTCGAAGAAGGTTGAGTGTAAGATGCACAAACTCGTGCTCGTCGTAGGAGGTCGTATTCAGCCTCTGGATCCGCCATTCATAGATGCTAGACGACAAAGTATTCCCGCAGCTTGATAGTACCTTGAAAATTGTTGAAGAGAAAGAAGTTTCTCTTCAACTTGAAAGAGGGAAGAGCCAAAGACTGGAAATCTGAAATAAATTTCAGATTTTTGTGAGTAGAGGAGGTGGTCGGCCAAGGGAGGAGCTTGGGAAAATCAAGTTTAGATTTTGGATGGATTGGATTGAGTTTTGGAGAGGATTTTGAGGAGAGAGCTGAGATTAATTTCCAAATCAAAGGCTCTTCACTTTGGAAATTAATTAGAGAGAATATGAGAGAGGAAGGGGGGCGGTGGAGCAAGAGAGGACGTGGGGATTTAATTCCAAAAGGGGAGACATGATTTTGGGAAGGAATTAAAAGAAGTGGGGCCTTGGGATTTTCGGCCAAAGAGGGAATTTGGGGATTTGAAATTATTTCCTAAGTGGAGACTTGAGTTTAGGAAATAATTAAAAGGGACTTAATGAGATAGGGGGCCGGCGGCTTCTAGAGGGAGGAGGGGATTGATTATGGTAATTAATGCTTACTTAATTAATAAATCAAGACTGGAAAGAAATATCTCATCCTTTCTTAATTTAAAATTTAAATAAGAATTGATTTAAGAGGTTTCCTAAAATAAGATTTATAATTTAAGTAACTATTTGATTTGAAATAAGAGTTACCAAATTTATGAAATCTAATTTAGGAAAGAATTGATAGCAAGTGGGGAAGGAGGGAGGGACCAAAGGAGGGCCGGCGGCAAGGTGGAGGGGCCGTGGATGGTGGGGTGGCCAGATCTAGCCGTCGGGTAGGGAGAAGCACGGGTGGCCGGCGGCTAGGTTGGGGAGGGTGGTAGTATGGCCGGAAGGTGGTGGTCGGAGGAAGGAAAGAAAGAGATAGAAAATAAGAACCACGAACTCGACCGTCTCCAAGGTTGGTGGGTGATCCAAGTTTCCTCTCTTAGGGATTCCGCTCCAATCTTCTCTCTCTCTCTCTCTCTCTCTCTCTCTCTCAAGCTCTCATAAGAACTCAAAACATGTGGAAATTTTCATTCAATCATTCCCTCCAACAACAAAACAAGGGGTTATAAATAGCCTGGTACATAAGACTCAACAAACAGAAAGACGAACATGCCCTCGGGGCTTACATACAACATCACTTTACTAGAAGGGTACCACGGGAAATAAAATAACATAAAATAAAATAAAATACAACGACACATAAATAAAACAATACACGACATAAATCAAAAGTATAATGACTCGATTGTGGCCGTAGATCGGCGACCATGCCTCTGATAAACCTTCCAATATCTGATGTCCCCATCAGGCATTAGAAAGCCTTGGGAATCTTCCATCTAGAACTACGAAGCATTCTGATAGTAAACACTTGTAGATCTCAAGTATTTCCAATCAATCTTCGGAAAACAGCGAGAATTCTTCACAAAAGTCAGCACAAAACCACGAAAACAGTAGAAAATTTATATTATTTGATGAAATATAAATGGAAACTAGCAAGATACAGTTGACCCTCAATTCGAGAGGAGGATAGATCTCTCCTAAATCTCTAGACACCACTAGAGCCCAAAAGAAAACCTATGATGCACCGACACTCCGCTTAAAGAGGGTATACAGTGTCGGACACGGACACGCGTTGGACACGGCATGGACATGTGTCCGACACGGCATTGGAGTGCACAATTTAAAAAATTAAAATTAAAATCGGACAGGCGTATCCGGTTATTAAATGATAAAATCGTCCGTTCTATTTAGCCTTTCCTGCGAACGAGAAGCCCTATTTTTCCGATCGACGAAAGAAATCTTCTAGTCGACGCCAAACGGAGCCCGTTGCCTTCGCCTCCCGTTCCTTCGTCATTTCTGCTCGAGCCGAGGCCAAGCAGAACTCGTCTTTCGCATTCCTTCGTTCTTGCGTGATTTCTGCGGTCATCCGAGGCAACGTTCGCAATCAAGGCCAAACATAGAACATTCTGCGCACAAGAGAGGCAAGACCTGTAGGTGGATTTCGTCATTTCTTCTCTTCATTATTGAAAAAGCTAATGTACATGCTAGGTACATGCTCGGTATCGCTAGGTACATGCTCGATATCGCTAGGTACATGCTCGATACCGCTCAGTACATGCTCGGTACCGCTAGGCACATGCTCGGTACTGCTAGGTACATGCTCGGTACCGCTCAGTACCGCTAGGTACATGCTCGGTACTACTAGGTACATGCTCGATACCACTCAGTACTGTTAGGTACATGCTCGGTACTGCTCAATACCGCTAGGTACATGCTCGGTACAGCTAGGTACATGCTCGGTACCGCTCAGTACCGCTAGGTACATGCTCGGTACCGCTCAGTACCGCTAGGTACATGCTCGGTACCGCTCAATACCGTTAGGTACATGCTCGGTACCGCTCAATACCGTTAGGTACATGCTCGGTACCACTCGGTATCTTCCAATACAAATAACTTACGAACTTTAAAAACAAGAACTTTAAAATTACTCTTACAATAAAATGTTGTTCCAGGTTGAACCCTGCCAGGGGGCAGCACCCCCTTGGACCCCCGGCAGACCGGTATATTGTTGTATTCATGTTGTCTTATTATTGGGATATTTTGATTTCACTTCATATTAATTTAAT